AAACAGAAAACAGAATAAAGAACACAACATTATTAAGAAATAAATTCCAGGGCCAGGGATTTAGCTCAGTGGTGCCACCACCTGCCTCATAAGCGCAAGGTCCCAAGTTCAATCCCCAGTACCAAAAAAAGAGAAAAGAAATAAGTTCTGCCTTTTTAGTTATTACTTAGAATACATTTATATGTTTATAATTTTGCAGTTAGAAAGCGTTTCATTATAATTTGTAGCAAGGCATTGTAGCAGAGGCTATGTGTGAGGCTGAAGTGGGAGGATGCTTGAGCCCGGAGTTTGGGGCCAGTCTGAGCAACATAGTAAAACCCTGTCTGAAAAAATTAAAACTGGCTGGGTATGTTGCCTGTAATCCCAGCACTCAGAAGGCTGAGGTAAGAGGATCACGTTCGAGGCCAGCCTGAAGTATGTAATGCTGCCGTATCTCCAAAGCAAATAACAATAAAATAAAACTATTTTGCTTGCTTACATCATCAAGCTATCATGCTGACTAAAAGAAGACCCAGGCATATTTTCTTGGGATGGGAAAATGCTGCTATAAAGAATTAGAGACACCACATAAATTGAAGGGCAGGAATATTTAAGAAAAAATAATTTGTAGGATTTATTGTATTGTTAAGATGAATTTTTTAATAAGTTTGTGTTTTCTTTAGGACCATCCAAAGCACCAAGTTTCTGGTATAAGATACCACCCCAGACTCAAGGCTCTCGATCTGTACGGCTTATATGGAAGGTAAAAAAAAAAAGATCTCATTTACATTCTTTTATATAAATATATTTTGATGGTATTATGAGTACAGGCTTTTTTTAACACTTCAATTTTTATTCATCTTAAATCAGCAAAGGCCTTCAAAACTATATTTAATAAATAGAAGCCCAAAGCTTTAGAGTAAAAAGCAGTCAGGTTCATCATCTGCAAATAACCCCTCACAGGTCTTCAGCACAGTTCTGTGAGAACATAAATTCTGTACAAAGAAGAGCTCTGTTCTGCACTTCATTGAATTTACTAGGGTGTTTCATAGAAAATTATTAATAAAGGTTTGGGATAATCAAAATGTGTGCTGATAAATTGGTACGTGAACAAACATAGATCTTATTAAGAAAAATAAGGAGAAGAATACTCAAGCATAAACAATATAGGCAAAAGTGCAGAATTCTGTGCAGAATGAAAAGATGACAGTGGTGCTCCTGGCCTTCATTCAGTTGACATATTTTACTCATCCTGTAGTGAATACTGTATTACTTTACTACTGAGCGCAAAGTAAGTGTGCCTGTCCCTTCCATTTACATGTTTAAAGGTTTAACGTAATGGCAGAATTTGTGAACTTACTCAAGATTTATAAAACAATTTTTTCAATAAACTTCCATTGAAGGCACTGCCTCCTTTTGAAGCCAATGGGAAAATCTTGGATTATGAGGTGACTTTAACAAGATGGAAATCACGTTCACAAAATTTCACAGTTAATGACACAGACTTGACAGTGAATCTCACAAATGATCGCTATATAGCAACACTAGCAGCAAGAAATCTGGTTGGCAAATCAGATGCATCTGTTTTAACTATCCCCGCCTGTGACTTTCAAGGTATGTGTCTTTGAGATGGATCCTGATTTGAGGATGAATAAAGATGATTAGATATAGACAGAAATCTCATTTTAAAAACATACTCTTAAGATTATCTCCTCACTATCAGGGATGATCATATTTTTAGAAATCAGCAGGCAACTTTCATCAAATATGTGAAGTACTTTTATCTCTCTGTAGCTTCCTTAAACTTTGCATTTGAGCCTTTTCTAATTACTTACCTGGTTTTTAAAATATTTCAAAGTTTTGAGAACCTTCTATGCTGTGATGTAAATATATTGTTTATAGCTTTCAAAAAGGACAAAATAGCAGTTGCAAAAGGAAAACATTTGAAGAATTTGGGGATGGCAAGGATCTAATTTGAAAAATAAATTGACTCCATACATGTAAGTTATAAAGTACTTTTATAAACCACTTGCCACATGTGGTGGCACATGCCTGTAATCCCAGCACTCTGGGAGGCTGAAATAGGAGAATGGCAAATTTAAAACCAACCTGAGCAATTTAGCTGCTTAGTGAGACCCTATCTCAAAATAAAATTATAAAAATCTATGGCTAGCCGGGCATGGTGGTGCACGCCTGTAATCCCAGCACTCAGGAGGTTGAGGCAGGAGGAGACCAGTCAGGGATACATAGTGAGTTCCAGGTCAAGCTCAACTACATAGTGAGACCCTGTTTCACAAAAACAAAAAAGAAAAGAAAAGAAAAGGAAAGAAGAGGGGAGAGGGGGGCTGGGAATGTTCAATCCCCAGTACCAAAAAAATAAAGTACTTCTATTCATGGAAATACATGTTACATGCTACAAAACTTGATAAATCATGGGTTTTGGAAATGACTATAAAACATTAAAATTTCAAAACTGTAAATGTTCTTTTTTTATGTTGGCATCTTGTTTTAAAGCTACTCACCCTGTAACGGACCTTAAAGCATACCCCAGAGATAACATGCTTTGGGTAGAATGGACTCCTCCAAGTAAGGCTGTAAGGAAATACATAGTTGAGTGGTGTGTGTTATCAGATACATCACCCTGTGTCCCAGACTGGCAGCAAGAAAGCGGTACCGTCCATCGCACCTATTTAAGAGGTACACCTGGCCAGATGCACTTAAATTGATATTCCTTTTCTAACCCATTTAGATAGATTTTTCTTTTGCAAATTCTTTTCTGGTTTACAGGCATTGTGTGTGGTCAAAAGACCCAATTATCGTAACCCCACCAATTCTAGATATGTTATTTTTTGATAATTTGGAGGCATATAAAGAAGTACTGTGTTTATGATAGTTTTTTTAACTGTGGGGGAAATAGCACTAATTCTTCTTTTTTTCCAATTCCTCTGACAAGCCGGGTCCATTATGCATTTCCCTACATCTTACTTAAGGGCATTGTGCTCATCAGGGAGCCTTCGGAGAATTAGGTATCTGAGAGTCGTCAAATTCTAAGTAAAACCAGAATAACTTGAGATCTTGTTTTATATATAAATCCTGAATATAGATGCAGTCACTTCTTATATTAATAATATAAATATTTTTACCCACTGTATCAAATTGCTTTTATAAACAGTTTCACTCTGTTAAGCTTGAGTCCAGTACACAAAAGGCAATGCCAACTTAGAAAACTGCAGTTTTAAAAGAAAACTATCATGAAATTTACTGTGAATATAAATAACAAAGTTAATTTGAATTTTTTGATAGGAAAAAAATGCATACTCTGTTGTTTGTACTTTAGGGAAGCTAGTGGAAAGCAAATGTTATTTGATAACAGTTACTCCAGGATATAGTGATGGACCAGGAACCCCTGAATCCACAAAGGCATACCTTAAACAGTCTGGTAAGTTCAAGCACCTTTTCTCTGAAGAAAGTAGTTTAGCATTAAAGACATTTTATGTCTGAGATAAAGATGCATTTCATGTTCATAGAATTTCTTTCTAAGGAATTTTCTAAATTCTACTGATTTCCATTAGAAAATACATTTATTCTGTTACAGCACCTTCCAAAGGACCTATTGTTCGGACAAAAAAAGTGGGGAAAAATGAAGCTATCTTAGAGTGGGACCAGCTTCCTGTTGATGTTCAGAATGGATTTATCAGAAATTATACCATATTTTATAAAACCAGCAATGGAAATGAAACTGGTAATAAAATCATCAGTTATTAATCAGCTTTTTCCTTAAGTTTTTAAATATTTAATTTGTACCATAGTATATTGTAAGTCTCATTATAGTATATATTATCCTCAGCAGACAGCTGTAAATATTTCTGTGGTTGTGTTCATGGCTCTATTTTCTCATTTATTTACTTTTTAAATAAATTTTATTTTATCCCATTCCCCCCTTAAGCCCCCTTCCCTCCCTATGTACAAAGGCTTTGTTTCCATTTTTTCCTTCTATTTTAATTTTTTTTCTTGTCTTTTTCTATTAAAAAAAATACAGCATTATGCTTAGAGAAGAATATTATGTCAGAGTTATAAAGGTTGTTTTCCAAGAAAAATACTTGTATTCCTTTTTAATACTTTCCCAATGCCCGATACAGGACTGATGAAGCAAAAACATTGAATAAAGCACAGGAATTTTTTTATTTCTTCCAGCTGTGAATGTAGATTCTTCCCACACAGAATACACATTGTCCTCTTTGACTAGTGACACACTGTATATGGTACGAATGACGGCATACACAGATGAAGGTGGAAAGGATGGTCCTGAATTCACTTTTACTACGCCAAAGTTTGGTAAGAAATAATGAAATTTGATCTGTATTTCTTTGTTTTATATTTAGACTAGAAATGGACTTTGTATTCTGAAGTAGTTTTAAAGTGTGCCTTAAGGGATAGGAGTATAGCTCAGAGGTAGACCACTTTCTTAGCATGCACAAGGCTCTGAGCTCAATCCCCAACACCACTTACTACCAAAAAAAGTGCACCTTTGATTCATAGAGATGAAGCAGTCATAAATTGTGGTTTTTATATTATTGTTCATCTGGTTTCATGTTTTCTCACCTTTTTGTTGTTTTATATGTTGTTTTGTTGTTTTATTGTTTTATTAACTGTGTATACACCTATATCTAAATCCCAGAATAATTTACATATTTTTCTGAGTGGGTTCATTTTTCCCTGGGTCACATGAGTTTAGTTGCTTTCCCACTTTTCTACTGTTGTTTCTTCCTTTATAGACAGCGTACCAGAAAAACTAGTTCACTGTAGAAGCTCCACTTCCTGCCTGCAGTTCATCTTTAACTTACTGAGATCAGGCTTTCAACCACCTCACTCTTTGAAGACTTTAGTCATCACAGCCAGTCCGTGCTTTTTTATTTTTACCTCTTTTCTATTCTGATTAGCATATTGTCCTTTTCTTTGTTTTTCTACTAGCATTTCCCTCGATCTCCACTTTTCCTGGTGCCTCCTCTTATTTTCCTTTTCTGCTCAAGTTTTACAGGGTTTATATTCCCCTACACTGTGCTTTTGGCCCAGTTTCTCTGCCTGTTTATACTCTTTCTTTGTCCATGACTTCAACCATCCTCTTCTTTCCCAAATACATTTCTTTGTCCCACGCCACAACTACCAAGCTCTTTACTAAAGCCAGAAATACTTAGATGTGATCTCAATAACTTTCTTCATATTTTTCCTCTCACATAAGCCAGTGTCACATCGTATTGATCATGTCAAATTACCATGTGTGCCTCCCCTTTCGTAATCAGTTTTGTCCAGAAACCCCTCGTAATTCTCTGCATCTTTTCCTATCTTTTCCAAATGCTTTGCCCTAGTGTAGGTCTTTACTTTCTCTGGTTTTGCCTGTTCATTTAGCCTCCTTAAAGAAGACTTACACTGCATTCTTTCTTGATTTCACTATTTGAATCATTATAGAAATTACTTTATTTTCTTGAGACTGTATTTGTAACTGTCACCCATAAAGAATAACAAGGAGAATGAGAAGTAGTAATCTCCTAGCTCTTTATTGGTTGAATGATTGCCAAAGGAGAGAATGAATGGATGAATGACTTTAAATAGATAATAAAAGGTCCTGAACTTCCCTATTAGGGCCAATCATTAAAGTAGTTTCTGGGCTAAGATTAGTCCCATGTGGTAACAGTAGTAAAATAGATATTTTAACAGTAGTACTTGAAATAAAATATTAGAAGAAATAAAAATTTTAAAATATTTTCCCTAGTTGCAATATAGAGAATTTATACAGTTTGAAATGCAAACAGGAAGAAAATTCAGTTCCAGACTGTCACCCAAAAATAACCAAACATTTTTGGCTTTTTTCTATGTATACATTCTTTTAAAAAAATAGATCATGCTTAGTATGTTTTAAATCTTTTTTTATTAATAACATGTTCACCATGCACAGTGATCACATTTATCATGGGGAATTTGCACTTGTACATAATATGGATAAACTGGAGACTAGGTAAATGGATGCATCTCAAGACCATAATCTTAAGTGAAATAAATCAGACATACAAGTTTAAATCTTGTATTGTTTCTCCTGTGTGAGAAACTCAAAGAGTAAATAAGGAACAAAATGGAGGACAGATATTGGGAAGTAGAAAGAACACGTTCAAATGGGAAGGAAACAAGGGAAGGGTAGGGGAAGAGGAGGAAGAGAAAGTAAGTTTTTTAAAAAGAAAGAGCGTGAGAGGGAATAATGGAAATAGTATTATTTCATAATCTTTAAAAAAGTAACCCTACCTGTGGCTTCCATTATGGGTCCTTCACGTGGCATATGGGTCTTGCCCCAAAGGATCTCACAATTTAGTTGAAGAAATGCAGGCAAAAATAAATAAAACAAATAGAGAACCAGTTGGGCTATGTAAATACTAAAGAGATGGAGAAGGTTATGTGCCAGAACCTTAAAGTTAGAATGTAGACAAACAGGAAAAAAGAAAGACATAAAATGGCAGGAGTAAAGGCCCAATACACAATAACATAAAACCACAAGTTTTGCATTCATAAAAGATAGCTTCTGCCTATGCCTAAATTAGATTTGGCATTCTGTATTTGAGGTCCTCAGCATTCCAGAGTTAATATTTGCTCATATTCCCAAGCATTGTTCTGATTTCTAGATTGCTACTGAGTTTTGTGGGATGTAGAGTTACTTACAAAGTAAGTACGCAATATGTGACTCTAATATTTCATATATTTGTCCTGTAGAAGACTAATTAAAAGATTTGTCAAGGGGTTTTGGGTAAACTGTGGTTCAGCTTCCAGCACCAAAAAAGCAGGGGTGAGTGGAAGAGTTAATTAGAAAAATAATCTACATTATTCATCCCAATTAATGATTCATTTGTTTAGTAATTAGTCCTCTTTTAAATGCAACTAGGATTAGTAGGGTATATTTTAGGCTTATTACATGGTTAAATTACTGTGTAAGGTTAAATAGGATATGATTTGCCAAGAAGAGAAAGGAAAAATTGAAGTCTGAAAAGGCTCAAAACAAAATTAGAATGATATTGTATTATTTCTCCTCTGTGTCTATGCCAATTATTTCTTATCACAACCTCTCTTTTTTAGCTCAAGGAGAAATAGAAGCCATAGTTGTACCTGTTTGCTTAGCTTTCCTATTGACAACTCTTCTAGGTGTATTGTTCTGCTTTAATAAGCGAGACCTGTAAGTACCCATATTCATATTTTTTGCATTTTTCCTAACTTCATAGAGCTGTAACTTATACATGAAGTAAAATTTATCTATTTTAAGTTCATAGTTTGAATTTTGTAATTATGTGTGAATGTAAACCACAGTCAACATAGAGAAAATTTCCATCACCTAAAAAGTTAGCTTGTTGCTTTTTTGTCATTGATCCTCTCCCTTAACACTTACCCCAAGCAATTACAATCTTTCTGTAACTATAGCTTTATCTTACCTAGAATTTCAGGTCCATGGAATCAAATAGTATGTAATATTTTGTGTGTGATATTTTTCACTTAGCATAATATTTTTGAAATTTATTGTATTATTGCTTATAATAATATTTTTCTTATCACTGAATAGTATTCTATAGAATGGATATGTCAAAATTTATCCATTGGTTGTGGAATTTTTAGGTAGTTTAATTTTTTCTGTTATGTATGATATTGCTATGAACATTCACATACAAAACTTTTTATGGGCATATGTTTCATTTATCCTGAGTAAATACCTAGGATTCGGAGTGCTGGGTCACGTGGTAAGTGAATGTTTTAACTTTGTAAGAAACTGCCGAACTTTTTGAGTGGCTGTGTTTCATATCATCATCAACACTTGGTACTGTCAAGAGTTCCTCATTGTAGAGATTTTTTTTCTAAAAGTGAATGTATAGGATTCATAGTGGTTTTAATTTCCATTTCCTTGATTAATTAGTAGATCTTTTCATGTGTCACATGTTTTCTTTTGTGATGTGTCTATTGAAATATTTTGCCTATTTTGCAGTTGTTTGTTTTATCAGTATTGAGCTATGAGAGTCCTTTATATGTTCTGGTTACAGAATTTTTGTCAAATATATGTTTTTTAAGTCTCTGTCCCAGTTTATGCGTTGTCATTTTAGTTTTAATTTTGAAGTCCTTTTATCAAGTATTTTCCCCTTGTAGTTCCTGGCTGTTATGTCCTGTTTAAGGTATTTCTTCCTGATGTACTTTCAGAAATATTTTCTTCTGTTTTATTGAAGAGGTCCAGTAAGGAGACTTTTTGATGATTTGGTTATTGTTTTGAGACAGGATCTCTCTGTTGAGTTCACACTGACCCTACCTAAACTCACTGTATAGCCCAGGCTGGCCTGGAACTTACGGTGATACCCCTGCCTCAGCCTCCCGAGTTCTGGGATTATAGATGTGCACCACCACACCCAGCTTACAATACAAGTTCAGTAGTTTTCACAGAATTTCTCAAGTTTTAACTCCTGTCTGTAATCTCCCGAGCTAATTTTTGTACATGATATGAGATCAGGGCCAAGACTTTTGCCCAACACATAGCTCTAGTTCTAACATCATTTGTTTTGAAAAGACCACCATCATTTTGTTATTAAATTGCCTTAGCACTTTTGCTAAAAAAATAAAAAATCAGTTGTCATAAAAGTCTATATCTATTTCTAGACCCTCGATTTCATTTCATTAAACTGTCTTTCTTAAATACGTCAATATGACATTCTTTCTTGTTATAAAAAATCAAATTTTATCATTTTATTTGGTATCAATGTCAACATTTTTGTTATCTGGATAATTTTAATTGGCAAGTAAATATTTTTGCTTTTGTTTTTGCTTTTGTTTTTGAAGGAGGTGTACTGAAATTGTTGTAGCCTGGATAACATTTTTAAGTGGTTTTTTTGCAGGATTTTATGTGAGAATTTTTTAAAAATTTGAACACTGATTAGCCTTTTTAATAATTTTTCCTTATAAATACATTAAAATCCTTATGTATTTTAACAGTATATTTCTATTGGTTACAAGAAAAATAATTTGTTTAGCTTTGGGTAGAATAGGGTTTTTTTGTTCTTTTGGTTAATTGGTTTGGCTTTTAAGATTCTTAGATAAGCTGTTTAGAAATAGGGAGTGTTGTTTACTACATGCAGTTTACATATGCCATGCTTCTTCTCTCTTCAGAATTAAAAAGCACATCTGGCCTAATGTTCCAGACCCTTCAAAGAGTCATATCGCCCAATGGTCACCTCACACCCCTCCAAGGGTAAGCTCAGCTGCTTCTGAGTTGTTCATAATGAACAGGCATAGTAGGATATATTTACAGAGTTCATCCAAAGATTCAGGGTGAATCGAAAAGTAAATGAAAATAAAATAATAAGTGAAAATTGCAGTCAGATTTTACAATAATACCCACATATTCTGGTGAGTATCGGCATGGTATATTTAATATTCTTAATTCTATTCAGTAAATACTACAACTTTTGAACTTGAAAACTGAAAAAAAAAAAAACTTTAGGTGCTAAAATTACTTCATGATGGTAACTCTTCATATAGACATTTTTAATTGTATTAATTATTAAAACCTGTTTTAACAGTTAAAGTGATTTTGGAAAACCTACACTTAACATCTCAAACTCAAAATATACCTCAAAGGGGAAATCATTTGTATTTATTATCTTCAAGTTTTCTTTACAGATAAGAATGTGTTACATATTTTCAGATTCTATAAAATTTTAGTCATTCAGATTTGGCTTTTCATAGTGTTTCCTTCCTTTTCTATATAGTTAACCCTATGCTGCCTAGCAGAGGCATGAGATAATAAATACTATTTGTATTTTTGTTTGTTTGTTTTGAGACAGGGTCTCACTGTGTAGCACAGGCCAATCCTCCTGCCTCTACTTCCCAAGTGCTGGGATCACAGGTGTGCACTGCCACTGCCACCACCTCTGCACCTCGCTTAAAAAGTATTTGTAGACCTTCAGTTTATTCCAAATGCAATACCAACAGTATTGATTTTGAAATTCTAGGAAAATTACAGACTACTTCTGACACCACAGACTCTTTAGCCCATTTTACCTTACGTTATATGCAAGTCAGGTAGTTGACAGTGATTTAGTAACATGACCACACCACTGGACATTTCAGAGATGCATTAATTCTGTTCTAAATTAACACACAGCATAGGTAATAATACATTTTCTTTCTTTCCTAGCACAATTTTAATTCAAAAGATCAAATATATTCAGATGGCAATTTTACTGATGTGAGTGTTGTGGAAATAGAAGCAAATGACAAAAAGTCTTTCCCAGAAGATCTGAAATCATTGGACCTATTCAAGAAGGAAAAAATTAGTACTGAAGGACACAGCAGTGGCATTGGGGGGTCTTCATGCATGTCATCTTCTAGGCCCAGCATTTCTAGCAGTGATGAAAATGAGTCTGCGCAAAACACTTCGAGCACAGTACAGTATTCAACTGTGGTGCATAGCGGCTACAGACACCAGGTTCCATCAGTTCAAGTTTTCTCAAGATCCGAATCCACCCAGCCCTTGTTAGATTCAGAAGAACGGCCAGAAGATCTACAGTTGGTAGATAATGTAGAGAGTGGTGATGGCATTTTGCCCCGGCAACAGTATTTCAAACAGAACTGCAGTCAACCTAAAACAAGTCCAAATATTTCGCATTTTGAAAAGTCAAATCAAGCTTCATCGGGCAGTGAGGAAGATTGTCTTAGACTTAAACAGCAGCAGATTTCAGATCAGATTTCACAGTCCTGTGGATCTGAGCAAATGGAAATGTTTCAGGAAGTTCCTGCAACAGATGCTTTTGGCTCAGAGACTGAGGGACAGGTAGAGAGATTTGAAACAGTTGGAATGGAGTTCACAGTCGATGAAGGAATGCCTAAAAGTTACTTACCACAGACTGTAAGACAAGGTGGTTACATGCCGCAGTGAAAGACTAGTTCCTCTTACTACTTCAGCAGTACCTATAAAGCTAAAAATATTTTATCTGTGATCTCAGATAAAAATAATCTTCACTCCTTGAAGATGATCTTTGCCCTTAAGGATAAAATCTCACTTGGGCTATTTCCATTCCAGAATATCTGGGATTGCACTTTAAGCACTACAGAAACGGACTTTATCCTCTGAATACTGAATAATTTTGTGTTCTTTGTGACTGTTTGCACTGAAGAAAATTGGCTTATCTGAAATTATAAAGTAAAACTTGTGTTTTCCTACACAGAAGACAGAGGTTTTTAAACAATGATCAGTGATATACTGTACTTCAAACAGCTATACTGTTTTTTGATTAGAATAATCATCAAAAAGTAGGTTAAGCATGGTTAATTAAAAAAAAAAAAAGTGGCAAGGCCTGGATCCTCTACTTCAGCTGCCCACAGAATTTTTAAAAGAGGTCCATAGGGCTTAACTACCTGAGCCTAGCTTTTGAGGTCTGACAGAAAGAAATGGTGGGAGCAATTATAGTTTAAAAATTCATCATTTTCCTTCTCTTGGTAATGATGCTGCAACTTGTTACTGAGAAAAGGAAGTTAGTGCTTTACCTTGGCAGATTATATTCAGTTTTTTAATATGTAATTTTTTATATCTCACTAAATTTTTAAAATTTACTTATTATTGACAACTTCTTTGAAGCGTCATCTCACAAATTCATTAGAGTGCCCTCCCGAGAGCTAGCTATAAACTGCACAAACTGTCCTAAGCATTTAAAAAATAGCTATTTTTAAAGATTTAAATTAACATTTTCCCTGTACCTATATAAACATCATTGACCCTTGTTAAGACTTTAGAAGATTTGGTTGACAAAGCTTTATAACAATATGTCGTCAGCCTAAAACGTATTTTAATTGAATATTTTTTTAAGAATGCCAAGGTTGAATTATTTTTCTTTTGAGGTGTTTGTAGCAAACTGAAGAGGACAGTATTCATAACAAAAACAGAACTCCAAAATACACATATTGATCTTAGTAAATATCGCAGCTAGCAAATATCCTTACACCTAATGAAGAAGTAGGGTTTGTGCCCCCCCCGGGGGGGTAGTTTTGCTTTTTGTTTGTTTTCCTTTGAGACAAGATCTCACTGTGTTGCCTAGGCTATCCTTGAATTCCTGGGCTCAAGCTGTCTTCCTGCGCAGCCTCCTCAGTGGCTGGGACCACAGGCGTGTGCCACCACACCCAGCAGAAGGTAATATTTTCATGACTGCCGGTATCTTAAACCTTTTTCTTCCAGTTATTTTCTTCAGGGGAGAAGTGAGTCAGGGTTTCAGGGTTTAACACTAAAATTTCTAATGCGTTTATGCCATCCTCTCACTATAACCTGTGACATGGACGAAAGATAAGATGCTGAGTAAAAAATTGTCACTCTTTATTAGTGATTGACTGCTACCACCAAGAAAATTCAGAAGAAAAATTTTTTCTCTTATATTTAAGTTGCAGAAAACAGACAGACTTATAGTAGTTTCTAGAGGTTATTAAATAATAAAAGCTGAGAAAAATTAATATGCATTTTCAGTTGAAATTCTACTTTTTACTCTTAGAATTTTGTTACTATTAGACTTCCTGTTATATTTTATTTTTTGTACTCCTTCTTACATTTACATAGTGCCTAATACTTTCCTGACTTCTTTCACATATACAGTCTTTGTGAGGTGGTAAATGCTTTATTCTGATAGATCCAGTTTTCTGCTTTCAGCAAAACCAACATTAGACTGGTAAAATTACGGGATTAGACATGGATGAGGAAAATAAGGCACAGAGAGGTTAAGTAGGGGCAGAGAAACCCAAACTCACACTACAAGACAGTGGCATCACCTCTTTCCACCTTGGTCATCAAAGGCATATGTCTGTCAGGAAATGTATACCTATTAAATTTTCATTTTCTCTAAATATACTGGTGTCTAGCTATAACCTTCCTCATAACAAATAGTGTTGTGAAGAACAGTATAGTGTAAACGTTTGTACATTTTGGGGGCAGTTATAAAATGTGAACTCATGGTATGAGAATGTTCAATGAAGAAATGACCTCATGTAAGTGAATTTGCATGTTGAAACCCATAGAGAATATGACAGGAAGCTACCCCCAGCCATAGAGCACTTTAGGTATATTAAATGGTTATATGGTGCAAAAATTCGTTTAGGAAATAGTGTATTTGAGCATTTAATATGTCTGTTTTTTCCCTAAAGAAAAAAAAAACTTGCTTTCACTAGAGTTACTTTCCTAGAGCATGTTTTAGAGTAATGTGTTTTGATGCATGTACATTGTATTTTAGGTATGGAGAGAAACAAATCCAGTTTATTTACATAAAAGTTATTAAAGTTAGTGGATTTATTACTCTTTAAAACATTAGTGTTTACAAATGTGGTTTATAGTAGTGCTAGCACATTAGAAAACAGCCTCTTTTTGGACAAAATGAATTCACTGCTTTTGATGCAGTTTCCCCCTTTAGAATTAAAAAAAAAAAAAAGATCCAACATATGTTGCATGTGTTGCTATTATTTGACTGTCAGTTACTGGTATCTTTGGTATTGTGGCCTCATCTCTCATGAAAGCATACTGCTGAAGTGGCCAGGTATGGTGGTGCACGCCTGTAATCCCAGCACTCAGGGACTCAGGGCTGAGGCAGGCAGATCACTGTGAGTCTGAGGCCAGCCTGGGCTACATAGGGAGTTTAAGAGCAGCCTGAACTTACATAGTGAGATGCTGCCTTAAAATAAAGCATCATGCTAAATAACTATTAGAAAACTCTAAAACTTTATACATTATTTCATTAAAATCTAAATTTTTAATCCTTTTCTTAGCATGAATCAGTACTCAGGAATATATATAATATTTATGTAGAAGCAGGGAGAAAAATGCAAAATCATATGTATTTGTGTATATTCTCTACCTGTTCATTTAATTTCAGCCTTGTTGATGAGGGATTTTACCACATGGAGTCATTCAGTAACCCTAGCTAGCTCTTACTGTGAAACTAAAAGTTAAGGGAGTGTACTTAAAAGATATTGTTTAAAGTAAAATATCAAAAAGAGTTCTAGGAATAAATAGAAATCAGACAAATACAATTTTTAAAGATGTCTTTTTTTTTCTATGTACTTAATTAAAATCATTACATAAAATGTAAAACTATAGCAATCATGTAGCGTTCCCAAGATTTCTATTTCAAAAGTTTTGTTTTGGTGAGGTAAGTAAAATATCAAATTAATAAGCTATATAAAATTTAAATCATTTTACAATTATTGAATTAGCTTTCAATTGCAGTATTACTGTTAGATATTACCCAAGTTAAGACTTTTTTAAAAGTCTATTTTTACTTTTCTAAAAATTAGAAAATATGCACCCATAAAATGGCAAGGTATTTAGAATTATAGCTTGAAATTGGGCATTATCAGATTTCAAAGATACAAGCTAGCAAACACAGCCTAATTCCTCTTTGATCTGGTTCTTGGTAGCCATTCCTTTTTACTGGTAATAAACAGAATTCAGGTATTAGTCAAAAGAAAATTTTCTAAAGCTAAAATGAGGCAGGCAGTGGAACCACTGAGCTAAATCTCCGGCCCTCTAAAGCTAAATGTAGTACTTTTGAATTAATCTTTTTCCATCACATATACTGCAAGTGTATGCATATAATATTATAGTATACACTGCATTAAAGATAAAAAGATGGCAGCTCAGAATGAGCTCTTTTATTCCTCATTCCTATATTTCTGAGGACTTTTTTCAGTCAGTAACTCCTTCAAATGGGTTAATTTCATTACCCAGTCATTCATATGGTTTATGGATCACGATGAAAATATACTTAAGGCCAATGGTGATAAATGTTCCAGATCTTTTTATCCCTTAAACATAAACTTTGTCTGGTAACAACACATTTCAAATGCTGTTACATTAATACCTAAGTGTGATGTGTCAGAAAAGGGTGTAATAAAGGTGAGTTTTTGAAAACTGTCTTAATGTGTACGTATATTAAATAATATACTCTGCAGTTTGCTAGCATGATATGCAGCGATTAGCATTAGATGCATCTCCTTTATATCCTAGCTGTGCTCACTCACTTCTAAGTGCAGTCCTTTCCTGTTCACTTGCTATTTTGCTGCACTTCGTCTAACTTCATTTGGAGACTGTATGGTATGTATTTTACCTTTGCAGTGATTTGCATGTGCTAATTGTAACCACAGCTATCACTTTTATGTTGATATAACTGTTATCGTAAATGTTTTACTATATATCAGCTCTAATCCTTTATGTAACTGAGAAATAAATTCTTGTTCAAGTTTTTGCTTTATGTGATCCACCACTATCTGACCATCACTATGCATGACATTTGAGATATGGTATTTATAGGTCCTGGTGTTGGCCAAATAAGAGTCTTAGTGTAAACTAAGTGCTTTATGAGGTTTTTATGCCCTTTTAAATGTTAATAATGGAGTCAGATTTAGGAGAAAACTATTACACTGTCTGCCTTAACACAAACTAGAGATGGCAAATTCATTTACCAGTTTTTTCCACATTTACTCCATGGATTCTGCAATCTCAGTATCTAACCACCAAGTTGTGTTTTGTTTTTTGGGTTTTGTTTTGTTTGATTGATTGATTCATTGATTGCCTACCATGTTGCCAAGGGACCAGGCACAGAGGTGCTGTGCCATCTCGTGGCCCATATCTGCCTGCACTCTGCTGGAGCCCATCCTTGTCACGGGGAGGCATGAAGCATCATCCAACTGCTGTAACTTGAGGTCACTGAGTAGAAGTATATCAAGCCACTATAGTCAATAATTAGCTCTTCGTGCCTTCAGGTTATGATTTCATCTAAAATATGCACTAAGTTCACAAACCAGCCAACAAGTAAATCTCATCCCTTCAAATCTAGTTGAGTTTATAGAAATATTGTCTTGGCTTTGGGCTGTAATGTTTGAGGTTTTGTTTTGGTTTGGTTTTTTTTTTGTACTGGGGATAGGGCTCAGGACCTTGCTCTAGTGAGACAGGCTGAGGAAACACAGAGCTAAATCCCCAGCCCTGTGTGTTCATTTTTCAGAAGTCAAGTTGGCTGTAATTCTTACAGGCTCAGCCTGACCTCAACCTAGAGTCCTCTTGTCTTGATTCTAATTTGTATGATGGATATAGTCTATCACTTACAAGATTATTATGTGTATGGTTATTACTAAGTCTAATCCTTTGGTTAGCTAATGGAGTGAATGGAGGGGAAAAAAAGATAGCTGGAGCAAGCAAATGAAAGCACAGGCAGCTCTGAATCAGACAGTCAAGTCGCTGTTGCTGTTCATTTGAGCTGGTCCTTGGCTGACCTAGAGAAACCTAAGAAAAACTGCTTGGTTTCTCAACAGTTTAAAGGAGTTCTGTCTCCATTGATGGAGAAAAAAAACTATCTAAATTTAAAAGTCAACATTTATTTTTAAATTAGTTATTTTCTCCCAGTTGCTAAAGACATTTTTCCTTGTGCTGGGGATGAAACCCAGGTTGTCATGTATGTTAGGCAAGCACTCTACCACTCAGCAATGTACCCAGCCCCTAAAGGTTTTTAAGATAAGTGATAACTTACTTTCAAAAAGCTGTAGACATTCCCACCTTATTCTTTTACATTTATTCTTTGTTACTCTAGTGATACTTTTTTACATGTCAGCAAAGTATAACAGCAGAATTCCAACTTTACCCTGACTCCAAAGCATACATTGGTATGCAACCAACACTGGAACTGCTTTTAGCAAAAAGCTTGCCTGGCTGGCTGAGGCCAGTGTGTGAAGAAGATATGTCTCTTTTCCAGACCTTTCTGATTTCAGAGTGTCTTCCCCTCCTTGGTTCTGCTCCTGTGAACATGAGGCACCTGCCCACACAGCACCCTAAAACCATCCTCTTCTAGACCCTGTAACCAGGCCTTGAGCCCAGAGCAATATATTGGCCAGTATCTTTCCCCACAGGCCCTCATTAGAGTTCTCCTCATGGGCTGTCTTCCACATAGCAATACCTGAGGGAGAGGTGTGCCTGTCTCTCTTCCTAAGGAGAATGACTGTCATTGGCCCCCACAGTCCCATTTATCTTGCACAAAGAGTGTATCCTCTATTGTAATCTGGCCCACTGCAGCTGGTGAAAGGAGGACTTTTCCTGAGTGCACTGACCACATTCCTGCCCAGATGGTTCTGTCACCTAGGAGCTTCTCTGCAGAAATCTCACATTCCTGGTGCCTTCAGCTGCCCACATCCACTTCCCACAGCCCCACAGCCCCACAGCGGGGCAGTACTGGCAGCCCGTGGGTCCAGTTGCTCCAGCTGTGCTTCTGTGTCTGCTTTCTGCCTGAGGTCTGTGGTGCCTCTCGCTCCAGCACCATACTCTATAAGTTTCCATACTGAGTCTCTTCTAACCTCCTAGGCTGTTTTCCATCCTAAATCATCCCCCAGACCCCAATCTCTGCTTAGCTGGAAAATACAATCTATTCACTAAGAAGCCACTCAGATAGATTCTCCTTAGTGAAACGTTCCAGTCTCCTCTCTGCTACCCTAGAGGGAAGACCCTTCTCTGTCCTTCTGAGACCACACTATCCCTGCTCTCCTGGGCTAGCCCTC